TCATTCATTTTCTTTTGTTTATATACAGATAAAGATGAATGTTATAGAAGCGTCTTTGCATTTACCAATTTCTTCTTCAATACTTTTGTTAATTTTGTTTTAATAAATGTTATCTTTGCATTACAGATCAATTGGTCAGTTATTTTTGTGCATGTAATGTTTATCCCATTATTATTTCTTGTGTTAAAAAATATTTCCGTAAGAAACTTTACACATTTAATTATTGAAGTAGTTAATCACTAAACAGCAAAATAATATTTTATTTTCATTCTCTTTATCTCAACCTCTTTTTCTCTTCCTCTCTCGCCCTCACGCTCTTAGTGTCTCCCTCTTTCTAAATCATAATGACTAAATTACACTTACTGCAACACATTCTCCCTATACAGCCGAGGGAAATAATGAGTGTGTAAAACCTACGACGTGGTAGTGAGCGCCCAATTGTATTTGAACACGGGAAGGTAAGGTTTTGTCTTTTTTTTTTATGAATGAATCATCGTGTTCGAGTGATAACGACAAGAAATGCGGCACAGTGAAGACTTATTCATCATCTCATCAGTACACGGCCTCTTTGATGTTTCAGTCTGTTCCTTATCTATCTATCTATCTATCTATCTATCTATCTATCTATCTATCGTCTCATCACTACATGGCGTCTTCGATATTTTTTATATTCCCTGTATTGATTTTCACTTAAGCTGGTGCACTACAATCGTTCGGCCGTTTACAGATTCAGAATAGTTCTCGAATCAGACTATTTGTGTTTGTGTCTCTCTCTCATCTCTCTTTTCTATCTCTCTCTCTCCTTCTCTCATCTCCCGTGTTTATAGAATTCTAATGATTTATGTTGTAAATCCTTACCTTACACTAATTTCCCTCTCTTCATTATCTTGGGCCTCCATTATTTCCTTCAAGGATTTTCTCCTAAAGGCATTGATTCTTTTTTTACCTTACCTTTTTATTTCATTTTTCTTTCGTTTTTCATAATTCATCAGACTTTAAGTGTCTCAGACTTAGTTGTGGAGGTTAGTTTAGCGGATCATTACTACTGATTAATGAGTTCGATCCTCACTGGGTGCCCCATAGAAAAATTTGACCTTAAATAACTCCACAAGGGTCGAAAATTGTTGTAGGAGTTAAATGCTTTCTTCACAGAATAATGTGTATGTTCAATGGCTCCCATATTTTAAGTTGAACATTGAAGAGTTTTGCATGATTATAATCCTTTCCATAATTGATTAAAATTTCCAATTTCAACGATTTTAGAATCATTCAAGCAAAAGGGAAAATTCAGAAACCCGACATGATTCTAGTGAACCGAAAATCAGAAAATCGTTTAGATGCCTGTATTAAAGAATCCATTTTTGATTGGATTGGAACAATCAAGGAAAAATGAATATTGTACAACCATCAGGAATTACTGGTGCCAGGAAGGGACTATGAAATTACAAAGCATTTTCCAAAGTCAACATTTCACTAAACAAATATTGTAGAAACTACAAATAACTGGGAGAGGTGCACAGAAAACAAAAAACAAAACCAGAATTACTCGTTTGTTCATGATAATGCAAAACCACACATTGCACATGTAATGAAATATCACTGTGAAGATCAAATAAAAACATAACATTACATCAATGTCAATCAATGAGTATGAGACCCCAGTTCATCTTTCGACTTAACACTCTCGTGTGCGATGTCTGAGAAACTGCCCATATTCTCTCTGAGGTGGATGTTTATATATCTGCCTGTAATACCATTCTTTATGACACTTGCAATCCAGGCACAGCTGGAGTAATCACGTGGATCTGCACTCGGCACCTAGGAATAATTCTGTACCTAATTTCTACACACACACACACACACACACACACACACACACACACACACACACACACACACACACATGCTATTGCAAACGTTCATTGCGCCAGATTTCTAGGGTTTGATTAATTTACCAGATTCATCAGAATTGTTATCAACTTAAATCTTTAAAATACATCTTAATCTTAAAAATCTTTAAAACAAACACACACAAAAAAAACAACAACATTGGGGCATATTTTAACGCCAAAGCTTTTCACTAACAGGGAAAGTACAGACCATATCTTCAAAGATTCTTTTAGTCACGGTCCCAAGAATTTTCTAAAGATATCAGACATTTCTTTTTTAATCATTTCACCCCAGGCAAGGCAATAAAACCACTAGGACGCAAGAAGTTACTGATTCTTAGCGAATATGAGAAAAACTACTATTAAGGAGAGAGGACAATAAAAGAATAAGAATTAAGAAGACAAAAGATAACGATTGACATTGCATTTAAATTTTATAAGATAAAAATTGACTGGGAAGCAAGAAGTTCGAAGAGAGTTCCTCAAGTGAAAAGTGTAACAGAAGCATAGCATAGAACTTACAGAACTGACCTTGCCGCCAATCTAGTACTGCGATTAAATTCATAAAGTCTAGGTACCATAGAGAAACAATTACCATGAAAGTTTTTATAGAAAGGACACAGGGAAGCTATCTTACGAAGGTGGGAAAGTGACTTAAGCCAAGAAAAAGTCAGGACTAACAACATTGCAGATTCTTCTTTGGATTCACATTCTTATCGATAATATTACTTGTAAACGAACTACAATTAATATTTCAGGTCAGCTATTGGTTCTCAAACAACTTAATAAGCTTAGCTTTTTTACATCACAAGACTAAAAACTACAGCAGTAAGGATCTGTGAGACTAATTTGTTAAATATTACACCACAGCTTATCAAAATTAATCTAAAACCTTTGCTGAATCCAGTATGTTGATTCCTAGGTTTGCATGAAACTTTTAAACACTGTTAATGCTAATTGCTATCACCCACAGGCAATCAACGGATAGCGAATAATAGACAAATGTGGTTATTTACTTAGTCTGGCACAAGGCTATTGGGCGTTCGAGAGAGGTCAAAGAAATAATGATGATCTAGAACAGCTCGTAAACCACCACTGTACAACGAAGCACCTATCAGTATTTATCAAGTTTAGGCTTACATCAGACCACAAGTACGGAGCACTCAGTGAGGATCGAACTCATTACAATAGAAATAGACTGTAGGGGTAGCATATTAAACAATACACAATGAAAATGCACTCAATTCTTTAGCGTATCGTTTAAGCTCGGTGTCACAATTGAGATTAATCCTCATTACAGATGTGAAGGTCAACTTGAATAGCTTGAAGGACAAGTTACTATTAAGGGAGAGGACATACATTGATTTTAGTCGGTAACCCCCGCTTCCTACATCGGGCAGCGACACTTAAACAAAGGGAAAGAAAATTCTGTGAGATATTGGGATATGGACCTAAGTATTTTACATAAACAGTTAATTGTCAAATTACGTCGGAACGGTATTCAGTAAGTATTTAGGTAAATAGAAACACTTTCTTCAAGTGCTTAAGTGTTGAAGTTTACCTGGTAATCGAGGATTCAATCGCTGTGCTATTCTTTAGTTCTACCATTTCAGACCTTTACATCTCGGATATGCCATACTATTGCCATGGAATCGAATCATCACCATTCACCTCGTATTTGAAATGTAAGGAGAACGGTCCACTCATTTTTTCTTCAAGAACTGTCACTTCGTGTAGAAGATTCTTACGTAGATTCTACAACACTACAATATTCAAATCAATGGTCAATAGTTATCTCCCTATCCTCAAAGTCTTCACTTCCTACAACCTCTTTTTTTTTATCTCACACACTCCATTCATCATAACTATTTTAACTCTAACCCTCTACCTTGAGTGACTATCGAGGCATGTACTAAGTAAACTTTATTATTAAAGAAAGTAGTAAAGTTGAAACACGCTCGTTGGTTTAGTGGAATGGACAGAGCCATCTTCGCAACGACGGATTAGGTAAGAGTGATTAATATAAAATATGCCCAAGCAAGGGCAATAGAATAAGACCAGTATAGCTAATTAAAATTGACGATAGACAACTGAAGAAGGTCCGCCGGATACAGCAGTCGAAGAGTTAGGACTACAACTGTCAATAAAGGACATCAATTCGAAAACAAATCATTGGCGTAAGTAGGACACTTGTTGCAATTTTGTTTCAAGGAACCTGACTTGTTAAATTCGTGTTGTATATCGTGAAGACAAACTCCCCAACCATTAGGTGCTCTTTTTGGAGCACACAGCATATTTAATTCGACTTTTTTTTTAAAAGATGAAACGTTTTAAGGTACAAAGATTCTGGTCTGATGCTTCTGCAAAAATACAAAGAAGAATCTGCAATGATATTGGCATTTGGCATCTCGGCTTCAATCGCTTTCCCCACAGCCGTAACGCAGCCTCCATGTGCCTGTTCTATAAATATTTTAATGACAATTTTTCCTCTGGTCCATCAGGTCAACGAATTTAAGATTCAGTTCTTGATTGGTAGCTAGGTCCTATCATTTTACTATTGGAATTACTAGATATAACAGTAAATTCAATTCTGATAGTTTATTCTGTCTCATTTCTCACTTATGGAAATCTCTTCTGGCTTCTTACTTTGCTGTCAACTACCAACTTCAAACGTTTAAATGCAACAGCCATCGTCTTTTTCTGTCTACTTAACTCGTATTATTTCTATTGTCCTATCTCCTCACTAACGTCTTTTCTGTTTCTTTTAGTCACAGAAACCGCTTGCGTTTTAGAGTCTTTATCGCCTTGCTTGTATGCGGGGTCTACGGGGAATTTTTGCCCGAGTCTACTGGCTCGTAATCGCCCCACATAAAAATCGAGCTTTTGCTATATCCTGCTTTGTGGGGAGGTTGGTAAATACCGATTCTAAATGTATAGCCGAGAGAAACTATTTTTCATTGGGAACCTCGCTGTAGATGAATGATTTCGTAAATACCGATTAAATAGTTTAAAACGTTAAATATATTTTTAAAAGGCATTTCAGCGTTCGTTTTTCGTAAATGAATATAGTGGCAGTTTTATTGTATCAAAACCTTACAAAGAAGGGAAATA